AAGAAAACTGACAATTTATCAGAAAAGTGAGTCATCAGAAGAAACTGAAACCATTCCTTCAAGCATTCATTCCAAAAAAATGACAAATATCCATATTCTTGATCAGCTTGTCATACTCTATCTAACCCTATTTAAAAAATCTGTCTTAATTTTGAATTTTTGTCAGCAAATGCATTTCTTCTTCATTCGCTCGCAACGACATTTGTAATCGATAAACTAGAATATATGTGAATATTATTCATCATCTTTATCTCAAACATTGGAAATAAATAATTTTGAGTGACTTTCGCGTTTCTTCAACTTTTCCTGTCACAGAAGTCATTTTCAAATGAATTGATACGAAACATGCGTCAGTTGTGTTCGTACTGTTTGATTGTAAGTTCAATGTAGATAATCAAACAAACAGGTCGACATATTTTTAAATCAGCTGCATCGCTTTATTTATTCATTATTGCTTTTGCTAGAGAAAGAACAAAAGTGCAATTTGTCTCTCAGAATATTACAAAAAAAATTTTCAGGCAGTAAACATCCTCAAGAAATTAGAGTAATTAATCTGTTGTATTCAACTGAAATACTATGTAGATCAGGTTTTTAGATGATATGACAAGGTTTCTTTTGAAAAAAACAACAATCGATATTTTAAAAGACCTTAAAATAAGACACAGAAGAGAAAAATAAATGGAAAACCTTTGTCTCACTTATTATTTATTGTTTTCACGATAGAATATCATTTGATTTCGACTTTTAAGGATGACTACTTATCGACGAGTAAAGAGACGCATCAGTCGAAAAAGAAAAAAAAAGTGTCGAAAGACGGTGTCGACAGTTCAAATCAGCAAATAGTCATCACGTTGGATGGTACAGATACGAATCTTCAAGAAAACATAAACCAAGAAGAGATTAACATGCAAAATGACCATGCAGGGTGTCATACATATATTTTATAATACATTTTTTGACTCTTTTGAACCCACATATTCACTTCTCAATTTTAATCAAGTGTAATACTAAGGTGCTCTCTTTCTTCTCTTATAAAGTTAGTCGTTGCAAATTTCTCGACGAATATGTTCATGTGCTGCATTGATATACACTGGATTCCATATCTTGGATCGTGATCTAGTTCAATATTATATTCGAAATTTCTTTGATTTCTGGCATCACATTTTTGTCGCTATATTCCTTTGTGGCTTTGTATTTTGCACCTAATCAACGAATACTATGGAAAGTAGAATTGGTCTTACAAGTAAACCTGTATTAATACCAATAGGCTTGAATATTGACATTGAAAGTATCGATAAATAGTGGTATTATTGACACTCGTATTGATTGGTATTAAGGTATTGATACGCTTTCAAATATTGGCATTTATATTAGTGAGTTTCTTGCTTCTATGCATCGTTTTCTCGGAAGATCTCGCACATTGTCGAGAAACGATTGAAAAAACTTATTTCTTGATGTAGAAGTAATCGGTTGTACAAAACTACGCAATATTGTCCTGGTTTTGTACATATACATAGCTGTATTATGAGGCTATGAATATGTACACGTCATTTGTCTTTGTTCGTTCTTGCAGTATTTTCGTGAGCCAGTTAACTGTCAAGATAAGGCTGTAGCTATGTTTGTTTGAAGAGACGAAGCACCTCGGTACGAACACCCACATTCTACTGTTAGTAGATGACCAGATGTAATCTTGGACCAGATCCTAACCAGAGCTGCCAGACTGGCCTGCTGCCTGTCAGGCACCTGGCCTGGTAAGGCTAGAAAATTTTTGACCTGGCCTACAGGCCAGGCCAGGCTAAAATTCTTAGCCTGGGTATGATTTAATACTAACATTTATAGTAATCAATTCTAAGAATAAGACGACTTCACGAGTCGATGACAATTGCTTTTGATATTTTCTGTTGATCATCTATTCGAATCAACGTTTCTATCCGTTTTATAAGGTCTTTTGACTGTGTGTGTTACTATTAACTTTTCATTTCTCGAACACTCAGAATTTTTCAATCTCCTTTTGAATTTTCTCCTTTGATGATATGCAGCAACAATTATTTCTAGCACTTTTTGTGCCAAAACTATTTAAAATGCTTCTTACTGATTCAATCTTGTACTAGGGAAGAACGCGCTATTCAATTAAAGAGTTTCATGATTCCAAGAGCTAGTCTAAACTAGAATCAAATTTAAAGTTTCGTTTTATGAAAATGATGGAGAATCAAGTTCTGCCCACTTGTATAATTATCGTGTGAATAAAATTCGTCAAACCTTAAGATTAGTAGAAGGTTTTAAGCTAATTTTGAGGAGTTCTCATTCATATGTATTGGAGATTGAAGGTACCTTATATATCAATAAGTACTTAAGATAATCGATACTTTCCATATCTACGCAGTTATAACTTTATTCCAAAAAAATTCAAATATCTCCACATAAATTCCTAAATTTCAACATCTATCTGATTGGCTACATGTTTGAAAGTATTTCATTTTAGAACTCAGGCCCATACTCATGTGTCAAAGATTTTCATAAAACCGATCTTAAAATTGATTCATGGATGCTCTTAGTTGAGAATTGGCATACTACATTCTATTGCTCTCATGATAACAAGTCGGATGACTAATCGAAACGTATACAATGAATTAATGCTAATTTGGAAATTTCATAATTGTAAAAAGTTTGAAACATTAGTTCGCCTGGTTTGGCCTGCAGGCTAGGCCAGACTGAAAAAAGTTGAGCTGTTGACAGCTCTGATCCTAATCCATTCACTTCCGTCTAAAATGGATTACGTAGTAAATGATGAACATCTAGTAACGTTGAACGAGGATCATGAGGCTAAATCTGAAAGAAAAGCCAAGCGTAAGAAGAGCAAGATGGAAAGTCAATTATCATACCCATCTGATGAACGAGAAGCGGCTTTGAATGAAGAACAACCTGATGAACCTCAAAGACAAAGAGTAGAAATAATGAAGGATGGTCGTGTTGCGATTGATCAACAGATGAGTGAAAGGTACCAAGTTATAGGAAATATGGTCGTAGACGAAATTCAACAAGCTCTCAATGAACTGAACAAGGTTGACACGTATTTTTCTCCGATTATTGGGTATGCTGAGGAACCTTTGTTGCCACTTCCTGAAGCATGTGCTTCATTGACCGATATTCTTCATAACTTATCCATCTATGTGCAACTGGCACTAGATGAAACTCCCGAAAATCCACCTGATGGGTTGACAATTGATGAGAGCGCTGCGGTTCGTCTATACACGATCGAATGGGAAAGACCACATCGAAGCCTGTATTCAATGCTCAATTACACTTTGAAAGGCGGTAATCGCGAAGAGCTTCGGCCTTATTTTAAATATCTAAAGTTATTCTTGACTGCACTGGTCAAAATTCCGTGTGTCCCACCGTTGACTGTTTGGCGAGGAGTTACAAGAGATTTGAGCGCGGAGTTTCCACCTGGTACCCCAGTGACATGGTGGTCATTTTCTTCATGTACAACATCACTAACTGTCTTGGAGAATAACTTGTATTTGGGCACTACAGGAGCAAGAACTCTATTTTCTGTTGAAGCCATTAATGGACGGACAGTACGTGACCATTCACATTTCGTTACAGAAGAAGAGATTCTTCTTCTACCTGGTACTCATATGATAGTGCAATCACAATTGAGTCCAGCACCTGATCTCTATATTATTCACTTGAAACAAGTCATACCGGAGGAAACCTTGCTTGAGCCTCCATTCGAAGGTAACTTACAGGATATTAATTCTGCATTCTAAATATTAGATTTTATCTTTTTAGGTGCACATCTATATCCGGAAGTGAAGTGAGTTTCATTTTGTTTTTACCTAAAAGTATTTTCGATATGAAGACTTCTGATTGTAATTTGCAGACGTTCCTGGTATAAAAAGAAGCGATTCTTCGTACCTCTCTCTTTATTTATAATTCTATGTATCGGCGCAATCATTATTGGTTCTGTTCTTGGATCACGAAAACAAGTCAACATTCCAAGTATGCCTTTTCTTTAATGTAGCTTTCATTGGCGTTTAGAACAATTTCCCATCCTTTATCTTGTATTATTCCTATTGAGCATACGTCGACAGATACTCGACGACACACCTATAACTCGATTGAACCTGTGTTCAATTCACCCAAAAGATCGTCTTGACAAGCTCGAAAGAAGTCCTAATAATTATTAATAAACACATGAAAAACAATTTTCGTGTTGAATTCAAAAACTATCGGTCGTATTGTATAAGTGATCAACGTATAAGGAAGTTTAAATCACATTCAACCTTTCGAATTCAAGATGTATACAAAAATCCTCTATTGCCCGAATAACATTGGCTAAGTCATACCAGACAGTAAATTTCTGAATACTTGAATCAAGGACATTGATGTCACACCTAGTACTATCACAATTCAGTTATGTTGTCAATAGAACCTATCCTAGGTGGAAGATGTGAAGTTATTAATACAGTTTTTATAACAATAGTAAGAACTTTGCATGCGTTTTAAAGAAAAGAAAGTAATAGATCACTTTTGCTTTCTGAAAAAAGTCGAAATTCAAGTTGAACGGAAGACTGGTAGCGTTAATCAAGCATATTAATTCTAGTAACATCGTTTCCTACATCTGTGGATTCAAGTATCCTTAGAACGAATTTTGACACAGATTACTAGAAAAACACTATCTCTTTCTTCTTGCTCTTCCCGAGCTGGTGTCATTTTTTTCCAAATATCTTCCAAATAAGTGAAATGGAATTTAATTTCCTAGAATAAGATCCAAGCTAAATGAAATCTTGTCAATTTCGATTCCTACTTTCAGTTCACTATACTGTTTAACAACTGAATTGTCTCATGTTAAATTGAGCATTACGCGAAAACAAGAATGAAAATTATCAACAATTTTGAATCTTGTTGTTTTAGTATATCAATGCAGTGACCCATATCCATCGCCAGTGACCTCTGAGACTGGAAAATTACCAGTTGCTATAGTGTTTGGAGATTTCATGAATGTCAACCGCGGAGATTTGGCAGTTCTCAACTATGATGATCGAAGTGTTGATATACTTCTTGGTAATGGAAAAAATGACTATGAGACTGAATACTATTATACGACAGATGCTGCACCAAATTCTGTGTTTAATGTTGATCTAAACCATGATGGACTCATGGATATTGTAGTAACGAATGGAGACGATGACAGCATTAGCGTCCTACTTGATAATGACGACAAAACATTTCAGACTTCGATCGAATATTTAGTCGGTGACAATCCAATGTCAGTGACAGGCGGTGATTTCGACAACGATACGCTAACAGATATATTAGTAGCGAACTCTGATGACGATACGGTTAGCTTGGTGTTGGGCGATGAGGAAGGCACATTTTCTGATATTCAAATTGCTTTTGACGTTGGCTCAAAACCTGTCTATATCATATCAGATGATTTTAATCAGGATGGAAAACTAGACTGGGCAGTTATCAATCAAGATGATAACACTGTCAGCGTAGCAATTGGATATGGAAATGCAACTTTTGAAAATCTACGGACTTATAACGTTGGTGCGACACCAGTCTCTATGATATATCAGGATTTTAATAAAGATGGTAAAGTAGATTTGGTAGTGGTAAACTATGGCGATAATAGTATTAGTGTGCTGCTGGGTAATGGTGATGGGACGTTTCAGGCTCAAATTGCTTACGGAGTTGGTATGAGTCCAAGTGCTGCAGTGGCAGCTGATTTCAATAATGATAACAAGATGGATTTAGCTTTAACGTTTTCGAATGAATCTTTCATTGGTGTGTCATATGGAAATGGTGATGGAAGCTTTCAGAGACCTATAAAATATAAGGTTGGTACTTCACCAAGTGCTATGAGAGCAGATGATTTTAACGACGATGGTAGAATAGATCTGGTAGTAGCAAATTCTGGAGAACACACGTTCAGTATGTTGATTAACGGTGTTGATGGAACATTTCAAGATCAAATTAAATATGCTACTGGTGCGAATCCGGTAGCGATAACTTCAGCTGATTATGATAACGATAAAATAATCGATGTGTTGGTGGTCAATAAGGGAGATAATAGTGTCTCCTTGCTACTAGGTAATGGAGATGGAACCTGTCGTGGTCGAATGCCGCACAGGCTCGAGAAGATAGCCGATTCGATGGCAACAGGTGATTTCAATAATGATACGAAATTAGATCTGGTATTAACTAATACAATTGATCACAGTATTACTCTACTTCTTGGTAGTGGATATGGTACCTTCCAATTTGAAATAATATATAAGATTCATTCCCCACCGACCTTCGTAGTAGTCTATGATTTGAATAATGACACGATGGTAGATCTGGTTCTTGTCAATCAGCACAACGACACCATCACTTTGCTGTTGGGTAATGGAGATGGAACCTTTCAAAATGGAACAAAGTTCATGACTGCTAGTCGACCGAGTTCTGTAGTTGTAGGTGATTTCAACAATGATAACAAACCAGATCTAGCAGTCACCAACTTAGGCGCTCACAATATTATTGTTCTATTGGGATATGACAATGGTACTTTCCAGACTAATACAACGTTTAAGTGTGGTGCTAGCCCTACTTTTGTGATATCAGTTGATTTAAATCGTGACCAGATCATGGATCTCGTAGTGACCAATCTAGGTGACCATACGATTAGTATTTTATTTGGCTGGGGAAATGGAGATTTTCAAGCTCAAATAAAATACGAAGTTGATAGGGAACCAAATCATGTAATGTCAGGCGATTTTAATAATGACAATAAAATGGATTTAGCAGTGCTCGGTCGACTTTCGAATCATATGGATGTATTGTTTGGTGATGGAAATATGACATTTCCGATTCGAAAACGGTATGGAACAAGTAGTAGTCCAGGTCCAGCCGTAGCCTATGATTTCAACAAAGATGAAAAAATCGATATTGCTGTGCTGAACAAACTTTCTAACCTATTATATATTTTCTTAAACGAGTGCTCATAAACATTCAACTAACATTTATTTACAAGTGTATCGATAGATTATTCATGCAATATATGAAGTAGCTATGAACTAAGTCATGTTAAAAGATCTCTTTTTTATCTTAATACACTCAGTTATCATTCTCTACTGTGGTTTGTTTGTCTTTCTTATTACTTGCAAATACCAAAAACGAGCGGGACTAGGTAGCAGATTGCAATGACAAATGAACTGCGTCATATATGCGCCATTTGTAGGACTTGAACCATGCATCTTCTGCTTTATGACCAGTTGTAATAGTATGCTTTTTTTTCCATGATATTACAAGTAGTTGAAATTTGTACTAGATAGAACTCCATCTTAATAATATATAGTAAAGATGTGATCTGGAAACGTTGCATTCTTGCACAATTGCACTACAGGGTGCGTAAAAATGTTTTTCCACGAGAGTAACGATATGATTTTCAACAACACTACTAACAAATTTTATACCAAATGAAAGTGGTTCAAAAATGGGATTTATTAGTATTAAATCGTAAGAGTTTTGTCAATTTTTCTATGTCAAACATAGTAAATCTCTAGAAATTTTCGCTATTTTAGTATGAAAAAATTTCTTTCATAAGGCAGGTCGAACGAAATCTAATTCAAACTTATGGATGACATGAAGCAGATTTATTTTTCAGTTTCGATGAATAGAATCAATAATCAGAATGACGTCCATTAGCATTTTTTTACTACACGAAGACGTGACAGATAGGAACATAAGAGAGTTTCAAACAACTCGATGTTTGTTTCCATCTTTGTCCGATCA